GACATTACAATGGGTTGTTATGATATAGCTGAGGTTTGTGAGCTGGTTGGTCTGTATATATTAATTTCATTATCTGAAACTGTTACAAACAGTGATATGGGCCTTTACAGGGACGACGGACTGATAATAATGCATCAAAAATCTGACGCACAGATAGATAGAATCCGAAAAAATATTATAAAAATTTTTTAAAAAATCAGCTTCCATATAGAAACTACGATAAACCTAACAATTGCTAACTTCTTAGACGTTACATTTAACCTTGAAAAAGACTCATATCATCCTTTCAAAAAACCAAATAGCTATCTACTTTACATCCATACTGAGTCCAACCATCCCCACAAATTATTAAACAAATTCAGATTGCTATCAACGATAGGTTATCCCATAATTCTTCTGACGAAAAAATATTCAACTCGGCAAGGGAAGAATATGATGAAGCCCTAAAAAGAAATGGGTTCAAAGATTTTAGCTTCAAATACAACCCTAAAATTGATACCAAAATAACCCCTGTTTGTAAAAGAAATATAATCTGGTTTAACCCACCATACAATAAAATCGTTCTCACAAATATAGGCAAAACCTTCTTACAATTAATTGACTTTCCAAAACCAAATCTGCTTCATAAACTATTTAACCGTAACACAACATAAGTCAGCTACAGCTGTACAAGCAATATAGCAAAAATTATAAAGAACCACAACAATAAAATTATTTCGATGAACCCAATGGCCACTTTAGCTTGCAATTGTAAACTAAGCAAAATATGTCCTATGAACGGAAAGTGCAGAAAAACAAATGTAATTTATAAGTGCATTGCATCATTCCGAAACACACCCAACAAAACATACATTGGTTCAACAGAGGACATGTGCAAAACTAGATAAGCGAATCATAAGACTCTCAAATGCAACCACGCTTTCAAAATATCTGGGATACACAAAATAAATCAAAAACAACACCCAATTTAAAATGGTCCATCATAAAATATGCCCCGCCTACAACAACATAACCAAAAAATGCTTGTTATGCTTATACAAAAAAACTAATTATTCTATTGTATAAAAATTGTCAAGAATTATTAAACAAAAAAAACGTACTAATATCTAAATGTCGCGATGATATAATTTTTTGACAACTTGACCGTGATTGTTTAGATGTTTAGATATTTTTTAAACATTCTAGAAATGTTCTGAAAAAAGAAATGCCATCTAAACTGGGAAGAAAATTAAAATTATTATGCTTTAATGAAATTTTTTTATTATGAAATATTATTTTGTTGATTCTTCATGTCAGGTATAGTAAAAATTTTAATTGTAATAAATTGTTTTTTTAGAGATAAAAAGACAGAAAAACAACTTGCAAAAAAACCTTATTTTTTTAAATAATTTTTTATATTTAATTTTTATTTAACAATTTAGTGATTAAATAATAAATAAAAAACTAATGATAAAAAATAAAATTTATAAATAAAATACAAAATTCAAATTTCAAAATATAATTAATCGTTCTAATAAAACAACAATTTATAAAAAACTATTATAAATCATAGTTGTCTTTAATTTCTTTAATTGCTTATTAACAAGTAGGAGAGTGACAAATTATTTAAAAAGACTCAGGTAATTAACTTTCTAATAGTTGGATACTTGTAAAGTTGAAAAAATAATTTTTCAAAGTTTATATACTGACTGACATAACTTCATTTTTATTAACAATGTTGTGCATTTTTGTAGTCTGTATTCTTTGTTACATTAAAAATAATTGATGCTAATAAATGTTTTTTTATAGTTGTTAAAAGTTTGCATGTATGTTTATATTATGCTCAAAGTAAAAAAAGTTTTTGATAAATATGTGTATGTAGTAATATGCTATGTAGTTGTTTTATAAATATGTTTTTATAATAGAAATGTATTTTATCCAAAGTGTATATGATTTTTAAATGAGCTGTTTTTATGTTATATAACATTAAAAAAATATATTATGTTTTATAGTTAGTGTATATGTTTATATAATGTTGTTTCCGTGCAGTTTTTATCCTTTGCTCGGAGTTAATAGTGTGCACTCTACTAAGTGAGATTTTGTTTTGGTTTTGTTTCTCAATTTTTATTCAGACTATTTTTTTATTCTTCAGTTTTAACAGTTGTATAATCGGATTTTTGTTGAGTCTATTCCAGATATAATCAAACCATTAATTTGCAAGCAATGCAAAAAGTGGCAGAAAAACAACCTTCGCAACATTTAGAAGGGTATTAAATGCAGGCTTGGTCGGGAAGCGGGAGCGATCGCTCTCGAATACTGACCACGGAAATTATATTTAGTTGCGTAAAACTGGCCAAGTTTTTTAGTCGTTTTTAGAACATTTAAGTTTATGTACGAAACACAGAATTTTTGTTTTACGGACATACATGGAAACATAATAAACTAGAATGTTCTCAAACTATCTTCGTGCGAAACAAGGAGGTTTAATAAACAGGAGACGCCGTAGTATATACTTTATATAAAACGCGATGAAGCCAGTTTTGAAAGTCAGCCGCCATCTTGGTTAACCCAAAACATTGTTATGTTTTGCGCGGAAATTTATATTTTAAGAGAAAACATTGCTGAAAACAAGTCAAAATATAGATATAAATGATTAAATAATTTGCCAGTTGTTTCCGAGGTTTATTAAACCTCCTTGGTGCGAAAGAATAAAAAGAATATTTGCGAACACTAAAAACCCGCTAAATTAACAAACAAACTAATTCTATTGGTTCAAAAAATACGCTGATTAAGCGAAATAAAGTTCTAGAGTATTCTGTTAAAATGTTTTAGAAATTGTATTATTCACGATTTGTTACGTTTTGAGATTTCTAGTATTGTTTTAAGAATATATATTATTTGTTTACGAAAATAAATGTTTTAAATATATATTAATTAAATTGTTAAAATTTTAAAAGTTTATTATAAATTATAGATTTTATTAGTATATTCTTATTTTTTATTTTAAAAGAGATTGTATTCTTTATGTAAACGTAATTTTGTGTATTTGTTTTTAACTTAAAATAACTTATAAATATATATATATATATATATATATATATATATATATATATATATATATATATATATATATATATATATATATATATATATATATATATATATATATATATATATATATATATATATGTATATGTATATGTATATATATATATATATATATATATATATATATATATATATATATATATGTATATATATATATATATATATATATATATATATATATATATATATATATATATATATATATATATATATATATATATATATATTTATAAGTTATTTATAAACATTTATTTTAAATAAATTAGCCCAAAATATCTTCAATTTCAAAATTGTACGCAGTTTCTTCACTTTCACTGAATTTAGGCGTTTCCCATTCACTTTCACTGCTTAATTTATCATAATCAATGTCATCTTTTTTGTCATTTACTATTGCAGCAGGTTGAATTATTGAATCAAACATAGCTGTTCGCCGTTTTTATAAAAATACCTGAATAACCTAACCTGATAAGCTGAATAACTTGATAACTTTGTATTAGACACTCAATTTATACTATAAAAATCGATTAGCAATCTGTTGATTACAAATGAGATATTTGATTTTTAATAACAAGGTATATATTAGCATATTAAATAAACTGCTGATCTAGATCTGATCTTGATCTAGATAAAACATCTACAAGAAGTGGTTTGCTACCAACTATTAACATTTTTCAATGTTAAAATCATAAAACTTGCACATTTGCACAATGTTACTATTACAAAACTTGCACAAGGGAATTTTGTCTTTTTTTTCTTCCTTTTTTTCATCAAAGAGTTAAAAGAACATTTAGCAAAGAAACAGAGACATAACTCAAATGACAAATTTGAGCGGTTTAATGCTATCAAAACAAATCTTTATAACATTTCTGTATACCTAATTTAAGTAAGCTCAAATTACAAATCAAAATTTTTTAAACAAAATACATTTACTGACCTTGCTTTATGCTTTCTGGTAAACCTGTAGTTAAGTGGCGCAAAATTGCTCAAAGTGGTGACTTTGAGCAAGTCTCAAATATTTATATAACAAGGAATATTTATTGGCTTTAGTACATACATCATACATACAATAAATAACAAGAAATATTTATTGGCTTCAGTACATCGTCGACTATCTCATAGCCTCCTGCTACAAGGAAGTGCTGTTACAGACTATCTTATAGTCTGCTGCTACAAAGAAGTACTGCTATATTGACTGAGGGTTTGGTTGGGGCAGGCAGTCTACCAAATAATTAAAAACTAAAAAAAAATTTAAAGGTCATTAAAATATTGAGTGTTTATATTTAAAAAATCTTTGAGCATAGTCTCACAACAAGCAAAAAAATAAAATTATTTTATGCAGCTTAACTATAGATTTACTGTTTTCTTTTAATTATGCTTAGTGTCATCTGCGCAAATTTTTATTTTTAAATAAGATTTCTGATAATGAAATTAATAAACCTGATATAAGCTTTAAGGCTTTGATAAAAGGAAGTTATTTGCCTTGATAACATCAAATTTGTTGGATCCTTTGTTTGAACTGACACATTGCTAGAATGTAAACTAAGATTTTGCATCTTGAAGTTCAAGTTGCACAATTATACTTTATATGGCTATAGGAATGGCCATATAATTAATCTATTATATTTGAATTAGTAGCAATTATAGATACTAATTCAATGCAATTTAAGATACCAACTTAATAACAAAGTAAGTGCTGCCATAAGGTTGATTAGCTCAATTATGAAATCTGTTATTTCAAATCATACTTAAAAAAATTTAGATACTTAGAGAACTAATAAATTTCAATGCCACAATTATAGAATTAAACAATCGAAAAAGCCATTCATACATAATCACTTCAACATAGAGAAAATGTTATTTATAAATATACAAAGTATAAAGAACTTAATCATAAATAAAAGAAAACAACTAACTATAACATGAGGAGCGTATGATTCACTATTAATTTTTCGTTTTTTTTCAATAATATTTTCTCTTTTGTTTTTTCTGATCTGATTTATTTGGTGTCGTCTCTGTTTTCTGTCAAGTTCTTTATTCTTTTTTGGGATTAATTTCAACTCTACTTTTCCTGTAAATAAAAAAATAAAGAATAAATACCAATTCAAAAATTATAAGTTATTAGGCCTGTGAAATTTCGAAATTAAAATATAAATTGTTTTTTACTATGGCATTAAATTTTTTTTAATTAATCAAGTAAAAACAGAAACTTAAATTTTTCTCAATTAATTAATGGGTTTATAAGTTAAAAATCTACAAAAAACGATTAATTTCTTTAAGAAAACCTAACCTTTATTAGATTTATCAAGCTGGCCTTTAGTTTTATGACTTCCATGTTTGTGAGATTTGTTTTGCTGCTTTAACGGACCTGGCTTGTGTTTTTGTTGTTTGTCGTTTTCCGTAGCCATTTTAAATGGAACAATGTGCTTCTAAAGGTTTGTTTTGGCTCTCACGCGCACAAAGATTTTCAAGATATAATATTATAATTAACAATTTTGCGACGGAGAGTAACAAAAATCAAGTATGATAAAAAAACAACTTTTGACTGTTTATTAGCAACAAAAATGGCTTCCACGTTTGTTGTTTATCCAAACGAAGCTGAGCTTATGATAAAGGAAATGAAAAGTGGTTCTTTAGATCAAGTTGGAAGTAACAAGTAAGACATCTAAAACCCAGCGTAGGAGACGTTCATGCATTGTTTTTTATGCTGACAAATTAAAATTTCAAAGTTTGGATCAAAATCTTTTATAGTTTTTAAAATTCTTTGACATATATGTTAATATATATAAGACAATATATTTGTCTTTTATTGTTATATATTTTTTGATTATTACTTTAGTTTTTATTTTGTTGTAGTTGTCGTTGTTGTTGTTTTTATTTTGTTTTGTTTTTTGTTTTCTTTTGTTTTTTTGCTACTAAATTTTTTTTTATTTATTGTTTTTTTATGTCATATGTATGTTCTTTATGTTTTTGTTTATTGTTAATTATTATTATATTTAATGATAATAATTATTATAATTAATTTTTAATTTTGATTGTTGTTGTTATTGTCATTATTAGTTTAATTCTCATTGATTGTGTCTATAGAACAGTCCCAGATTTAGGCATGGGCAGGATGTGCCATGGCAAGGTGACCCCCACCAACTATGGCAAGGTGACCCCTACGAAAAAAATAAACTGACTTATTTTTTTATATTGTCAACATGATTAAAGTAGACACTAGATCTTATCCAAGCAAATGTTTTGTTGTGAACTTTATGTTGTTTCTTAAAAAAAAAAGGTTTTAAATGACATTAAAAAAATCTACATTAACTCTATTTGCTTAAGTTTAACAATTTCCAAGGAGTGTTAAAAGGTTAACAAAAGTCAGCAAACTTATAATTAAATTGTTTGAAAGTTTTTTAAGCAATAGTTTTATGTGCATTGTTATTTAGACAAGTATTATGAAATTGACTGCAGTCAATTCCACAAAACTTATCAACTGGGTAGCCCGACAACTATTGTGTACTGTTATACCTTGAGTAGTTAATCATAAAAACACTTTTTTGCTGAATTACTGAAAATTTTTAAAATTGTAAACATTTAATAACAGAAAGTAAAGTTGTTGTTTTTTTTTTTTTTGTTTTTTTTTATTTGCATTCACTCCCGACAAGGCTGCAAGCAACCACTATTAAGTTGGGAGTTACTAAGAAAAAAAAGAACAGAGTTATAGAGCAAGGAAACGGTTGACAGAAGACTTGAAAAGTTGAAGGTTGTATGAGTCAGGAAAACATGAAGATGGGAGAGAGTTCCAAAGGATTGAAGTGCAGGGATAAAAACTAGATGAATAAAAGTTTTTAGAGCATGCAGGGACAGATACAGTAAACGAATGAGACTTAGCTGAATGACGAATAAAACAAGAATGAATTTTAGTTGATGGAACTAGAGATGATAACTCCTTTGAGCAGTGACCATGATAGTATTTGTAGAAAAGAGAAAGAGATGCAACTTTACGACGATGGGAAAGAGGTTCAAGCTTAGCAGATAGTCCAGGTCCAACAACATTTACAATGCGTTTTTGGACCTTGTCAAGAAGAGAAAGTGAATCGTTAGAAGAACCAGCCCAAATATGACAACAGTATTCCATACAGGGACGAATAAGAGATTTGTAGAGGTAGAGAATGGAATCAGAAGTAAGGAAATGGTGAGCACGATGAAGAGAAGCAACCTTAGCAGAAGCTATTTAGCAATCGATTGTATATATGGTTTCCATGAAAGGTCAGTAGTAAGCGATAATCCAAGAAGACGTAAAGAGGAGGACTCAGTAAGAGGATTGCCATTCATCAATATAGGAATGTTGACCATATTACGGTAGTTATTTGCAGTAAGCAACTGGGCTTTTTTAGAGTTGAAACTCACAAGCCACTGTAAACCCCAATCTATTACTGAAGTGAGATCGGATTCAAGATCAGCTGCTTGTTCTAGGCGATCGAAAAGAGAAGACTTTTTGTCAAGACAGGAGTATAAAGTTGAGTCATCAGCAAAAAGAGCTACTTTAGATGAAAGGTTGTCAGGAAGATCCTTTATGTAGATAAGAAACAAAACAGGGCCCAGGATGGAACCTTGGGGAACCCCAGAAGTTACTGGAAATAAAGAAGAGTGTTGGCCTTCAAGGATGACTTTAATAAACCGGTTAGAAAGAAATGATTTGATAATCTCAAAAACTTTCCCAGAAACACCATATGAAGCAAGCTTATGGAGGAGACCAGCATGCCAAACTTTGTCGAAAGCTTTAGATATGTTTAGAGCAATAGCCCTAGCCTCACCGCCTCCATCTAATGCACAATAAAATCTTTCAGCTACAGCAGTTAGCGAGTCAGCCGTAGAGCGAGAGGATCGAAAATCATATTGATTGTCTGACAGAAGTTTATTTGACTCAAGATGAGATGTGAGGAATTTGTTGATCAAAGACTCAAAGACCTTGCTAATAACAGAAAGAAGACTGATCGGACGATAATTGGAGGGGTCAGAATTTTCTCCAGAGTTTTTGAATATTGGAACCACAGATACCATTTTCCAACAAGCAGGAAAACAAGACTCAGTCAAACACTTGCTAAATAGTTTAGAGAGAATTGAAGAATGTTCTGGAGAACAATTCTGCAAGACTGTGACAGGAATGTTGTCTGGACCACAAGCTGTAGACGAGTTTAATTGAGATATGACTTTAGCAACAGAAGCCGGAGTGATTTGAATGTCTAACAATGGGTCAACCTGTTTGACTGGAATGAAAGGAAGAGAATGTCTATAAGATTCAAGAGTGGAATTAGAAGAAAAGTTCTTTGCAAATAGTTCTGCCTTATTCTTGGGAGAGGTAATAAGATCAGTCCCATGAATGAGAGATGGAATGTTACCCTTGAATGATCTACCCTTGTTAATAATGAATGATCTACCCTTGTTAATAATGCTGTTGAAGATTTTCCAAAAGTCTTTAGAGCCTAACTTCTGCGATAAGATGTGTAATTTAGTGAACTGAGAAAAATGGAGTTTAGCATCAGAAAGCACCTTTTTATATCGATTTCTTGCAATAATAAATAGCCGTTTGTTCTCAAGAGAGTTGTTCTTTTGAAAAAGATAAAATAAATGATTACAATTGGATATAGCAGCCGCACAAGAAGGAGAAAACCATGGAGTAGAATGAGGCTTGACTTGAAACCGACGAGAAGGAATAAAAGCTTCCATTCCAGCCTGAATCCACGTAGGAGGTGCATTTGTCAGCTGAGAGAGAAAAAACATCAGCCCAAGGACCATCACGAAGAAAATCACGAAAGGAATCCCAGTCAGCTTTAGGGTAGTAGTAGGTGGTGCGATGATAAGGTGAGCCCAAAAAAGAAGTACGAGAAGAAAGATTTATAGAGATCATTGCATGGTCAGAACCACCTAAGGGAGAAAAGGGAGAAACTGAACATAAGCTAGGGTCAGAGACAAGACATAAGTCAAGGAGTGAAGGTAAATGATTAGGGTTGTCAGGAAAACGAGTCACAAAGTTAACTATCTGAGTAAGAGATTGAGAAACGCAGAAGTTAAAGGCTTTAGTGCCAGCAGGATCAGTGGTGTTAGAGCCAAGCCATTCAGTGTGATGGGCATTAAAATCACCAACAACAACAATATTGGCAGAGGGGTAAAGAGAGAGGGCATGGTCAATATGATCAGAGATAACATCTAAGAGAGTGCAGTTATGGGAAGAAGGAGAACGATAAAGAACAAAGAGAAAGGTGATAGAGTGAAGAGGTGCTAGGCGAAAGCAGATAAAAGAATGGTCAAAGGATTCGAACCTGATTTCACGACAAATAGGGGAATTAATGCGTATGTATACCCCTAAACCTAGCATGTGACTATTTGAGTCTTTACGAATCAAAGGATAGTACCCATCAACACTGACATCTGAAGAAGGAATTGCAGAATTTAAATTTATTTCACTGAGTGCAAGCAAGTCTGGTGAATTCTGCTGGACGTAAGACTCAACTGATGGAAAGTTGCTTCATAGACCGCGAATATTTGTAAAAGATATATTAAAATATTTAGGTGGTGGGGATGGTTTTTTAGGTTTTAAATTTTTGGTTACTTTGGTCATGATTTGGGTTTAATGTGAACTTGACTCATTCATAGATAGGGCACAGCCTCCTAATCAATGAGCTATGCAGTTGTCTTAGTCCTGTTAATTAACCCTAAGCCGTGACATAGGGCTCCTTATGTGGCCTTGACAATGCACACCAAAAGCATTAACAGGGACACCATCCATGCGCAACATGGCACTGTTAATACTCTGATATTTTGCAGCTTTTGATGGAATCAGCCTCTCTGAGAGCTACCACAGAGTTCGGGAAACCTTACTACCAGCCGACCTTAGAACCATTAAACTGAGTTTTAGAGCTGTACCCTCATATGGAGATAACAGGAAGAGTTGCATAGCTATTATCAAGGAGGCATAAGCAAAATTCTATGAGTAGATTCAAGGAGATCCAGCATTCATCATCCTAGGTAGGAAACAATGTAACACAGGTTACATCTATGCCAGCCTAATAGATGAAGAAGGGGTTCGAGGCTGGTTAGCAGAATTTTTCTGCTTACCCCTAAAGTCTTTGCCTAGGAGGCCTTCTACAAGACAGTAGCTGGATGCAGTTAACATCTGCCCAAGATGAGTGTTTTTATCGAGACACCATCTCTAGCCTTTACTCAACCAAGAGCCCCAAGGCAGGGGAATTTTTAGTCGGAGTTTATTTCTCCTAGCCTTTGCATAAGAAGAGCACACTCTGCAAGGCAGCAGGGCTTGTGGCAGGTGGTACTGGGTTACGTGATACCAGTAGCAAGATTGATCTTGATTATCCTGACCTGACCTGGAGTAGTTAAAAGGAGTTACTTCCTGCAACAGTACTTTGAGAAAACCAGGCATGACATTTTGGAAGTGCATTAGGAAAAACACTGCATCTAACAAAATACAGGAGTCTAAGGTGAGTGTAGGTTTTGTAGTTGGAGTAAGTAGTTAGCTACTGAGCTCACGCTGCATTAGAGTATAAACAGAACATAAACATAAACATAAAGTAACTTACGGGTGAGCGAACACCGCGCCAGAGGTTCAGACAGAACACAGACGTACATAAAGAACATAAAGTAACTTACGGGTGAGCGAACACCGCGTCAGAGGTTCAGACAGAATACAAACATACATATAACATAGATTACAGGTGAGCTAATACAGTAACTAAGGCACCTCCAACTATATGAAAAAAAAAAAAAAAAAAAAATTACACTAGGCATGACTGATATAAGATAGTACTGATGACAGGAAGAACACTCCTTCCAGCCTTCGCTTAGAAAGCAAATCCTGCAAGGCAGCAGAATATGGAATAGGTTGCACTGGGTTGCATGTTACCAGTAGTGGGATGATCATGAAGACCATACTCCTGACCTGACACTAAATATACGTTATTACACTTCTGACCTGACACTAAATATACGTTATACACTAAATATATTATTACACTCCTGATATACGTTATACACTAAATATACGTTATACACTTAATATATTATTACACTCCTGACCTGACACTAAATATACGTTACTACAAATGAGTAAATGTGAATTATTATTTAAACTAACAACCTAATTTAGGCTTTTATAACCTTTCTTTACTTTTTTTTAATTAATAAATCACTTTATCTTTACCAGAATGGCACTAAAACCCCCATTATTCCATCATTTAAGTCAACTTTCAATAATGTTTTTTGTAGTTGATGTTTTTTGAGATGTGAAAAAAACCTTAAGTTGCTTTTTTCACATCTCAAAAAGCAGAAGTTAATATTAATAATAAAAATTTAAACCCTTGTGTACCATACAGGGAACTAATACCTGACCCATTTGATATAGCAGATCTCTCAAATTCTTTATATTTTTAGCATACCCTTATGATTAAGCTCTAATCTTGTAATTCCTTTTTGTGTTTTAAGCAGAACATTTTGATATAACCTTTATAGGTCGTATGTAACCCTTTATGATTAACAACACACTAATATTTATGCATTATTGATAAAGACAGGTTTCAAGTTTTTTCATTAAAGCTTTTGAGGAGAGCTTCAACTTATCCAAATCATTTTTCCTAGGTTCTATTCCATATAGCTGGATATCAGCTAGTATTATGAAAAGGTTAAAAAAAAAACCCAGCAAACCATTGACCAATTTTAATTTCAATGATATATACAAATACAAATACATGTTTTTTGAAAAGTATCATTACTTTCTTTACAATGCAACCTCTGTTGACTAATTTTATGATTCTTGTAAGAGGTAGTGAATTCCAAGTTATCTCTTTATTTCATCATTATTAATACAAATGAGTCAAACAATGTTAACATCAACATATTAAAAAATATCTTTAACAAGTTTTTATCATTACTCAATCAGACTCTACTCTAGCAAACACTTGACTTATTACCATTTCAACTGTTTGAGTTAATATTACCTGTTAATACAGGCATGCTACCAATTATTACTAAAAATTACACTGAGTTTTTCATATCCATATGGGATCCTATTAAGTGGCACTTTTTTTAGTATTTTACACTTTATTAAATTTAAATGTACTTAGTGCTGCTACTTTTTTATGTGTAAATTGTAGCTTATATTATTGTCATCAGCCAGTCAGTCTCATTGGATTCTGGCATAAAATCTATTTTTTTGGTGTTAATTATGTGCAAGAGGTTCCTAGATTTGCATTATTTTACTCCATCTATTGTATCATTTACTGTGTTATATTCATTGCATAGGCAGCTGACAACTGGAAGCTTGAAATAGAGATGCACCAAAAAATGGAAATTCCATTCAAATATGAACATTTTAGAAAATTTAGATTGTTATATTCATATGCAACAAAAAATGAAAAAAATTTTGTACTTTAACTCATAGGCATTTAAATGCAACATAGCAGATGTTCAAAATGGTGATCCCTAATGTTGCCAACTTTAGGGCTGCCTTGATGTCATTTGCCATCACAGTACTTCTATTTTGGGCATTATATATCCTCTGGGTTTTTACAGCTGGCTTAACAAACAATGGCCTGGGATTCGAATTTCAAGCTGACACTTTCTCGGTAGTGTTACAAGCTGGCAAGTTCCTTGTCGGAGCTGCACAATGATGGTGCTTCAGAAGAATGGTATTATCATTGCAGCTTTCTAGAATTTCCTACAACAAAAAAAGCACAGAGTTGACCAGCTCAGGATCCTTCTTCTCTCTGTACGTTTTTCCTACTGGATTAAACCATTCTGGTTGAAGGTGCTAACATATTTTGAATCATTATCTGTAGTTGTTGCAACAAAGTGAGGATTAGAAAAATCGAGTTAAAATACTAAATTTCAATTGACTACAACACTTTTAAATTTTTGAAATTTATTCATGAACTATTAACAGTTATCAGGGTTGACTTGTATTTTATGTATGTAAACTAATTAAGTAAAAAACGCAACTCACATATTGTGTATTAAAAAGCAATTAAAAAGTTCTTTTGTTTTAAAAGTATTTTTGAACAAAAGAGTTTGAATAAATTACGAAATTAATAAAACTTTATAAATATTAATTTAAATACAAGAAACCTAAAATTTAAGAAGAGTTTATCAAAATAATATTATTTATACTTTTACGCTTCATTTTTATTGCACTTTTTTAATTAAAAAATTACCATGAGCATTTCATTCTATTGAGACATTCTATGACAATAATAGAAAACAAAGTGCTACAAGGCTTTATTTACAAGCTATTTACATGAGTTGGTTGGGAGAAATTCAGTCACAAACAAAAATGTAATCTTTAATGATTATGTTAAACTTTTCAAATCAACGTATCAGGTTTGAATATATTATAAAGAAAAGATAATCAATTTAAAATATTCTTTAAAAACGGGTTTAAATTATTAGACATATCAAAACATTTTTTCTTTTGCTTATCATGATGTTGCATAATTATGCAATAATATTTTGTAAAACTTTTTTTAATTTTGAATATTCTTAGTTAAACTCAACTGTTATCAGTTGACAGTTTTTGAAATAAATTGCTTCTACACACTCTCCTGTTTACGCTAAATTTCTAATGCAGGTCAGACATGACATCTGTGAAAAGCTTCCCAGTTTGGGCTTCTTTTGACTCCTTGACACTTGACTCCTTGAAGTTATTTTTGAGAAATAAAACTACAACTAATAGAATCCTACTGCTAAATACATTTACTGTCAAATACATCTGAGATTATTTTGATAACACAGAAAAAATTTTGATATTTTGAAAATTCATTTTTCTTACCTTCATTTTCAGCAAATGTTTTTAAATGACTTCAAATAGTATTTCTAAATTAAAATGGTAGCGGGTTGAGGCATTTTATTTTTTTTTGGTAGCGACTTCATTAGGCTGCTAAATTTTCCTAGTGAAAGTGCTTTCTCGACTCTGCTACCAAATGGAAAATATATATATATATATATATATATATATATATATATATATATATATATATATATATATATATATATATATATATATATATATATATATATATATATATATATATATATATGTATGTATATATATATGTGGGTGTGTGTATTGTTTTATAGATGGTGGAAGACACATGAGTTAATTCAAAAGTTGAACATGCAGGTTTAAAAATTATTTCAAATGCTTTTTATTTATTGTATATAAAAATTTGAATACTATCATTTAATGCAGTTAATTGTTAGCTAAAACTGTTAATTTAGTTAATCAAATGCTTTTAACATTCTCATATTGTTCATACATTTATATATGAAAATGTATATAAATATCATTACAGTTATTTATAGCGTTTTCATCTCATTTTTAAAATTTTATTTCATATTTTAAATTGTTTCTTTTTATATATTTTCTTAAATTATTTGGTACTACATACTACATACAAATGTAATTGTTTATTATAAAATATTTATTCAATTATTTTGTTTTTCTATACCTATTAAAATTTGTTCTTATTGTCTACTTATTAAAGTGTTTCTTATTAATTGAATAATGAATGTTTGTTTTTTTCATAACATAGGCTGTATTAAATGTATCTTCTTGTGCTGATGAGTTTGTTAAAGATTTCCTAGTTTCCTACAATAAGGTATATGTTGTATTACCTAACTATACATTATTGATAATAACCAAAATGTGTATATTTGTGTGTATATATGCATTTATGTATGCATGTATATATATATATATATATATATATATATATATATATATATATATATATATATATATATATATATATATATATATATATATATATATATGTATGTATGTATGTATGCATGTATGTATGTATGTATGTATGTATGTATGTATGTATGTATGTATGTATGTATGTATGTATGTATGTATGTGTGTATGCAGGGGCTATTCTAGAAATTAAAAAATGGGCAGTGGTATCCCTCCGTCTCAGAGAAATTTAGAGAAGCTCTTATAGAAGGCTTTTTTAATATAATATTTTGATTAAAATGTACACACTAATACTATAATATAATAATAAAATATTTGAATAATAATATTACAATATTAATAATAATGGTTTGAATAAAAAATGAGGAAATATTGAGGTGCAACTGCATACTATATAGCCCAAAAAAAACATATCTAATAATTTTAAAATATGCTCCTTTTTGTTATGATATACAAGAATTTGGAGTTTATTCTAAACTAGAAAGTTTATTTTTTAATTTGTTTTTGAAACACTTGACCAAAATGCTATTTAAAATAAAAATGAGCAAACAACTTTGCTGCTAATAACAGTAGCAATGTTCAAGCTTTTTAATAAAAATGATGATAATGGCAATATGAAAACTAAAGTACCTTAAAACTGGAATTGCTTAATATATGCTGATGGGCAAGATCATTTTTAAATTTTTAGCTAAAGAAAGTCATAAATATGCACTTTTGATCACACTTTGCATTTAACAGTAAACAATATATTAAATTGCTGTATTTTAGTATAAAGTTGCAAATTGCATTTGAGAAAGCTTTATTGTTACTTTTATCTAAATGCAGCATCTCAAAATAATTATTCAAAAGTTTACTAATCAACACTGATTAGCTGAAATGAAAAAAAATTAAAAGTAGGCTATCATTTTCTGGACAGTTAAATTTTCAGTATACATTCATCTTATTTTTTAAACATAACATTTTATGCATTTTACTTTTGGTATTTATATATAAATTGGGCCTATATATAAAGCCATACACTATTGAGTTTATATTGTTATAAATAATGTACAATAGGTTGTTTTAAAAATGAATACTAAAGTTTTTATAATAGTTATACAATCTCTTTTTTACATTTTGCTATTTTTATTTTTTTATTTAGAGTTTTAATTTTAACTGTTATTTATCTTCTTTTTTTTTATTACTAGTGTGCAATACATTTCTAACCATTTCATCTTAATAACAGCAGTTTATTGACAATAAATAATGTTTAAAATACAAGAGTTTTATACATTATTAAGTGGTCCAAGACTTACACACAGTACTGTATATTAGTATAGTGAAAAGTATAAAAACAATATATAAAATAAGTAAAAACTTAAATAAATTATGAATAAAAAAATTTACTTTAAATAAATAAAGTTTATTTAAAGCTTCAACAATTTTAAGTTTACTTATTAAAAAACCAGCTGTGAAGCTAAAATTTGGAACCCCTGAAAAAATTAATTTACCTGTCATGGAATGACTCCTATTCAATAATTGTTTTGATTGAATTTTTCTTTTATTTTAACTTATTATTAACTTAGTAAACCAAGTCTAAAACTATCACTAAAGTGAACCAAATTTCTTATTATTCTTATTTTTTAAACTGTAGAACGCAGGTATTGAAATAACTATTGCTTATATTTTATAAATTTATATATTATAGAAAATCTGCAGTTACTTTAAAGGCATCATTATAAATTTGAAGTTGAAAAAGTATTCTAACATAATATTAATCTAAGTGTAAAATTCGCTCATGATAACATTGCAAACCTTAACAAAAAATTGATTTTATGCTTATTTACTTCATGATTGTTATAGCCTCAAAACAAAGTTTACTCCATCAATCAAAAACATTTGGTATATCTACTTATTCAATATAATTTTGGCGTTAATATAATAGTTTTAGTTTTTTCTTTTTTAAATATTTTTATTATAATAAAAGTTTAAATTGCAGTTATTCCCCAACCAATTGAGTCAACCAAAATTGATTTTGGGAGATCAAATCATTATTTTTCCTATAAGTAACAGATTGTTGATTATTGATTATTCATTATTTCAAGCACTCTATACTACAGCTGTTTTTCAAAATGCTTTATACATATTTTGAAAAAAACGCTTTTTGATATATATTTTAAATTTTGAAGTTTTCAAGGATTTTCTTGTTCCGGATATTTTCGGAATTCCTGATATTTTTCATAACTTTTAGTTTTTCCAGATACTCAAAACGTTTTCCATCCATACAAGTTTAGGTATATATTTTCCATACATACAAGTTTAGGTATATATTTTTGTAATATATTTGTTTTTTAAGCTTTTTTGCTTATCACTCATACAAAAATTATAAAAAGTTTCGAAAAAAAAATTTGAAACAACTCAGCTAAAACCAAATTGAAGAGGAAAATATATTCCGGATATTTTCCTCTTCAATTAGAGTTTTACCAGAGATTTGTAGTTAAAATGTTTATTTATAAACTTTATTATCTTAATTATATTATGAATTGGAAAAAAAAATAATAACTTTAAAAAATGAGTATTTGTGTTGTATTATTTATCAGAAAAAATGTAGATAGGCTTTTTTATAGATGAAAGCGGCATTCTAAACACTTTATGAAACAATAAAAAGTAAATTTACTTTTTATTACAATTTTTCCCAATGAATTTTTTCCAAAAACTTGGCTATGTATCCAAGCCATAGAAAATATATATTTTTAAAAAATATATCGATGTATGTAAACAAACAAATGAAGAGTTCATTCTAAACTAACTTTAACTCCAGTTTGTACAGATTGTATGACATGGAATATTCATATGAAAAGAGTCAGGCACGCCAGAAACAAATATAGATTTGATGCTGATCCAACTGTTTGTGAAAAAGAAAAAATAGTGGCAACAGACATGGAAAAAGGAGTTATGCTACCAAGAATGAAAAATCTTAAAGAAGCAATACTTTGTCAGCGATTAACAACATACAATGAAACATTTGTGCCTATTGGAAAAATGAAAGGAAATGTAGTTTCAATTGTTTGGCATAAAGAAATGGCTGGGCGGTGCAAAAAAGAGCTAATTTCTACATATTTGTTTTTGCAAGAATATCAAGACAAATCTAAAATCACTATTTGATGTGAAAATTGCTCTGCTTAAAATAAAAATTGGAGTTTAGTGATAAAAATTTAGTAATAAAAATTGGAGTTTAGTTTCTGATATTTATGATTAATAGCAATGATATTGCATCAAACAAAATCAAATTAAAGAAAGAAAAAAATTTTTAAAAATTAAAATTTTGGAAAGTGGTCACTCATTTATGAGTTATGACTCATTTCATCATTTAATAGAGAAGCAAATAAAACTATGCTACGTGTACGATTTAAATAGTTTTATTCAAAGAGTGGAAGCAGTGAAATGAAATACAAAAGTTAAATTTTTGTAGGTAAGTTTGATTTTAGTTCTTTAAAATTTATAAAAATTGTAGATGTAACTAAGTGAGCATTTATTCTTTTAAGACCGTAAATATTTTTGTGCTAAAGAAAAAAAATCGCTCAATATATGTTGAATAAATTGTTTGCTTATCCATATATGGAAAACATTGCCGAAATCAAGATCAAATGTGGTTCTTATAGCATCTTTTATCATTATGACTATGATGGCCCATGATTGAGGCATCAGTTTTATCCAAAAAGCAGAAAGAAAAAGTGTCAACTTTTCCATATACTATAAGAGATTTAAAAGCCAGAATCAATTTAATCTAAAATTTGAACCTTGTTTGAACACTTTGTCTTTTAGTGCCTCCTAATAGAAGAGAGTTTTGGGAAAATTTGTCAGCAGAGATTAAGTATTTTTACGTTTAACAATTCTTCAATTTCAAAATTATATATTATAAACATCTTGCATAGAAATTTCCTTGTTACTTGTGTTTTCCTTTTTGTGTTATTACTTATTTTATCTTCTAAATACATTTATTTTACATCAAAATTTTAAACAAATGCAACTAATATAACTGTTTTGTAATATTAGTCAGTGCCATAGGTTGAAAAAGCTAGAGGGGGAGCAGAAACAAAAATTAAAGCAGGTTAGGGCAGCAAAAAATAGAAATTGAAAAAAAAATTTTAAGAAATTTAAGGGGGAGGTGATTGCCCCTCTTAACCCCCCCCTTCCACAGACACACACTCTCCTCCTCATCCTCCTGTTCTTACAGCAGTGATATTAGTTATGCAATATTTTGAAATTCTTAATCGTTAATAGTTGTTTTATTATAATAATTATAATTATTGATATAATATAATAATTATTGTTACAAGATAATACAACAATAATTATAATAATAATAAAAAAAGTTTTAAGAAATTTAAAAAATATAGTGTAGTCAAATGATTTTTTACAAATCCAAAGTAAGACGTTTTGAAAAAAAATTAAAAAATTAAAAGCAGATATCATTTTTAAGGCGTTTTTTGAAACTAGTAATCTTTTTGAATTTTTTCATAATTTTAAAAAATTAATTATTCAATAACGTTTGCTATCATCTATGTTAACTTATTTCATAAAAAATTCAATTTTGAATTTTTTTGATCTTTAGGTATTTTGAAAAAGGGCTGTAGTATATATGAAGGAGATTTATTACAGCAAAAATATTTTTTTATTTTTCTGCATTTTGAAAGATAGGTATGTTCTTCATGACTGAAAACATTATTTTTCTCTGTTCTAATAAATATAAATATATAAAAATATATATATGCTTACATATCCAAAATTTCTTTCAAATAAAAAAAATGTAAATATTTTAATAAATAAGACAAACTTTTTAATTATGAAAATCATTTTGTTAACAAAAACAATACATGTTTTAACTAGCACTAGCCATCTTCAGTTGAAATTAAATATTTAAAATATGCATTAATTACTTATAAAATAAGTTTAAAAAAATTTGATTACCGTGTACAAACTATTAATAATATAATAACAAATACAATGAAATCTATTTTATAAAACTAATGAAAGAATATGTTAAAATAATAAACCATATATATTCAAAGTAATATCTAAACAGACAGTCTCATTTGGATATGGTTAACCTGTTTTTTTATGTTTTACCTATAGTTAACCTGTATATTTATGTTTTACCTATAACTCATTAGTTGTTTTAAATGGATAAAATAAAATCATTAGATGCCAAATCTTAAATGAAAAAAAAATATGGTTTAATTGCATAAAACAATCTTTAGATTGCAAGTAGTTTTGCCTATATACCAAATGTTACATTTTGCATAAATAAATTTTCACATAAAAAAGCAAGGTGTCATTTAAAATCCAAATTGGTAGTTGCCATCTGTTTCTTAAAGTAGATATCAAAGGAAATAAAAAACATAGTTTTGAAAGAAAAGTACTAAATTTATCAACTTAAGACAAGTCAAGATTGGATATTGATTTTATATTTGAATATGACTGTTAAATATAAAGTTGATAAGGAAAAAAAAATTTTTGCTTTTATGTTTCTAATTTTTTTTAGATGATAATCTTGATTTATGATCTAATCAAGTCAGAAGTGTGGACAGAAAAAGTGTTTCCTTATCTTAAATCTTCTAATTCAAGTATGTCTGTTTATATGACTGTAAGTAACTTTGAAGTGCCATTTTTATTTTTATCATTATTTTTACTTTGACATAATATACTTAATCAACAGACATTTTGAGATGAAGTTCAGATATAGGATGATACCTTGCAGTTATTAAAGATGATACTGATAACCAGGATGAAAACTAGAATGAGTATTTGCTAAAACTACTTTAGTACTTAAGTCAAACAGATGGTCTGTATATTAAACAGATAGTCTGAAAAATCTATTGACATAACATAAAGTTTCATAAATGGCATAAATTCATATCAGATTAAAATTTAAACATGATTGAAGTTTATTTTATATAAAGGAATGCTTGTTTCAAAATTATTGTTGATTTAAATAGGTAAATCAGAAACCGATTTTTAAAAATTAATTATTGAAACACTTTTCTAAAAAAATATATTTAATTCAAAAAAGAAGATCATTTATTAAAAATTTTTAAGTTACAAACTCTGATTAAACTTGTTATTATGGTTGTTGTTTCATTTATAAATTTGTTTTATATGATATCAAACCTTCATTATAATATTTTTATTGAACTTGAACTAGTGTTGTTACAACTTTTAAACAATTCAACTGTCGACTAAATTTACAAATATATTTTCTAAAGTTGACTTAAATTGACTTATACATTTTTGAAATCAATTAATCAACTAAACTTTTAAAGTTTAAAATTTTAAATTGACTAATACAATTTTTAAAATCAACCAAGTCAACTAAAATTTAGTCAATTTAGTCAAAATATGGTAATAATTTATTTTTTTTAAATAAATTGTAATAAAAATAATAAAGTAATTTATATTCGCTTTCTATTTTTTAACATAATATCATTTAAATAATAATGGAACAAAACAATATGAGAGAAGGGCTGCTCCAACAACAGGACAATTTATTCCCAAAATCCAAAGACCACCTTAAATATTTGTTAAATATCAAAAAGTCTATGCAATCATATTAACAATGTGATTGTATAGAAGACATTTAGGTTTTGGAGCTTCACAAATTAATTTTATTTCAGGTCCTCGAGCCAGCTTGGAACAGTCCTGTATGAAATGAAAATCACAAGCATTAAGTAAACAAAAGAAAATAACTTTTAATGAAATACATAGCCAAATTTTTAATTAGGTATAAATAATGCTAATGAATATAATGCATAAAACTTTAAAGGTATAAAACTTTAAGAGAATTAACAAAAAACTAGGTAATAGTTACAATAGTGTATGTTGTTGTTATAAACTGAACATACAAAAATTAAAGATTAAATTGAAATTTAATTTGAAAAATATATAAAGATTTTATGATTTTTGCTCGACTAAATTGACTTTTAGTCAATAGGTATAAGTCTATGGTTGATTAAATTGACAATTAGATTTTTCAACTAATTTTGACTTTTGACTAATTGACTTTTAGTTGAAGTCAATAACAACACTAACTTGTACCCAATTTTGTAAGTTTTTTTTAATATATATATATTTTTAATGTTAATTCACCTCTTGAAGGCCGAGAAAGTCACTCAGCTAAAGAAGCTATTTTAGTTGTGGTTACAACACCTTTCTTAACTCTATTGCTCTGAAACACAAACTTTGACTAACAAGGTTGCTGCACAGAGAAACAAGTTGATATTTTTATATTTGTTTATTATATATGTTTTTTTATTTGTTTATTATATATATTTGATATTTTTTGTAAAATAAGGAGGTGGAGCTGCAATTTGATGGCTTTTTTAACTAATTGTTATTTTAGTATATTGTGTTTTAAAATTATTTTATAAATGATACATTTAATGATTTTTTTTATTCATAACTTTATTTATTTTTGTTATTTATTTTAGCTGTTTCATGAAGTCACTGTTTTAGGTTTACTTGAAACATCCTTATTTTACAAGGTAAACATATTTATTTAAAACTTAGTTAACGCTTGTTTAGTTTTTTTCATAACAATTATTTTTTTAATACATTTTTACAAGCTAAACTTCTCATCTCCTAATGAAAGTACAGCTCTTAAATTCAGTTTAATGATTCTAAAGCTGGTCTGTAGTAAGGTTTCCAGGACTCTGTGGTAGCTCTCAATATTTACAGCTGTAAAATATCAGAGTATTAACGGTACCATGTTGTGCATGGAAGCTGCAACTAATAGTTCTTTTAGTGTACATTACCTAGGGCTCATAAGGAGTCCTTTGTTATGACTTTAAGTTAGTTAGCAGGAATAAGGTGAGCACATAGCTTTTACTTAGGGTGTCATACATTTAAACCAAAAAAACCATCATTACCGCCATATTGTTTTAATCTATCCTTTTCAAAAACTTGTAATCTTCAGAGTAACTTTTCATCTGTTGATTCTTATCTTAAAGTTCACTAGACTAAGCTGCTCTGTCCTGTCATCATTAAGGCTCCGTCTCTTCGTTTTTCTATAAATGCTATCATCACATGTTACATTTTACTGCAACTATTTCTTCTTACTTTTTTGCTTTTGTTCATCAAGTTGTTTTATTTTCTAGACAATTAATGCTTTAGAATATTTTCACATCTTTGTGTTTTTCTGATTCGAACATTCAATTTTTTTAAATCTTTTGTCGATCACATTTGTTTTAACTCTTATTAAAATGTTAAAGATATTCAAAGCATACAATAAGAATATCAAAAATGAATTTCTAATATCATACCTTATCTTACTATTCTAATATCTATTAAATATTAAGTAGTAAAACTTCTTCACAAACAGAATATCTATTGTTTGGAACAACTTGCCTAAAGATGTAATAAATTCAAATTCGATTAATTCTTTCATATACAAGATTGACTCAATATTCAAATAGAAAATAAATAAAAATACGATACTATACAATTCTTATTGAAAAATACATTTTATTCATATTAGTTTAATGAGTTTGATGAATATAGATTATTAAATTGTCTGACTTTTTTTTCCTCTATTAATGATAACATAGATCATACCATGTAGAAAAAGTAGAAAAAAGAATGCGTCAGTTTTAAATAATTCTTAGTTGATTTATATCAATACATGAGTAACATTTTCTCACCTATATTCTATAATTTTAGTTTTATGTCTTAAAGGTCTTTATAGTTTTTAACCTGCATTAAGCCCTATTTTTACATTAAAAAAGTTACTTTTACAGTATTATTTAGTAATAAAGTATATACATTCAGTAATAAAGTATATACATTCATTTATAAATATATACATTTATGTATATATTTACAAATGCACATAAGCCTTTTCTTCATAAATATAAAAGCTATGACATAAATTTCATATTTATTTTTTTAAATATATTACGTATTATTATTTTTTTAATATTATATATACTTTTATATACATTTGTAATTGATAATTACAAAAACAAGTTATAAAGAATATTGCAACTTAAGAAATCAACATTTATACAGTTTGCCTATAAAAAATTTTTCATATATCTTTTATTGATAAAATCATTTATGATATCATTAAAATTAATCCCACAAAGAATATTTGATTTAATAGACATCAAACTCAGTGTGTCTAATCTCTCCTGAAACATGGTACTTCTTTGCTTATTTTTAATTCATTTTATTTTTGAAAATTAGAGTATGTTGTTGTCAGATATTGCTATGCCATTTTTATAAGTCACAAGTTCATAGATGATTTTTTTCCGGGAATTTTCGGAATTCCGGAATTTCACTTGAAAATTCCTTTACTTTTCCAGAAATTTTCGGATGTTTTTTGTTATTAATTTGAAAAAAAAATTATTTAAAAAAATTAAATACGACTTATGTATTTAAACAAATATGTTTTCTATAACTAAAATTTTCACAATATCAATTTTCGTAACAATTTTTTCTTTTTTTTTTTTGCTTTTTAATTCATTCAAATTAACTTTTTCTAATATTAGAAATTCCTTTTTGTAAAAAGTTAAATAATCTAAATTCCATTTAAAGTTTATGAAAGTTTTTGTTGTCTGTTAATACAATCAATTTTTAATAAATTTTCGGGGATTTTAAAAAAAAAAAAATTTCCGGGATTTTCATAAAGTCAAATACTCATCTATGCAAGTTCTAGCAAACCGATATAATTCCTATTATCTGGAACACCAAAATATTTGTTTGTTTTGAAAAAAAGTAAATCTTTCTCGATAACGTTACAATGGTATTTTTTCTATGTCTGGAATTGAAGTTAGAGGTCATCACACACAACAAATCTTTTTTTTCTTTCTAAATATATGTCAAAATGTATTCTCTGTGAAAAGATACCTTATCATAATGTTGATGTAATTGAAAAATATTCTTCCAATCATTAAGTCCATTGCTAGTGAGTTTGCTTGACTTTTCATTAAGCACAAAATGCTTACAAAGAACATATGCTTGAAGACACAAACAATTCGCACAACCAGTTGTTGGAGGCATTCATGCAAAATCTTTTGCCATTTGCTTTTTTCCCAAAAAGTGTTGTGTCTGAACAATACACTGTCCTGGATTCTGTATCGTAAAATTTACGAGAATGCTGGAATGGTCAAGAATGAATCTGACATTTTTGTGGACCATGGTTAGCTCAATAACTGATATCATTATTATTCAAATCCATTTTTCAAGATAGGATGACTGTTCTTCTCAATAGTATGTATTTAAGTTTTGCTCTAGATCATTTAAACAGCTATCATTCTGAGGGTTTAATTCATTTTGATGAACATGAGAGTTGCTGCTGTCAAATTAATCAATTTTGTCTATTTGTGGTTCAACCTGCAAATTTGCAAACACTGCTATAAATACGCATTTCTAAATGCTTAGAATTTGATGAAACACACTAAGTAAAAATTAATTTCTTACAATTTTATTACTGACAGTTTCAATTTGTTGGCTAAATGGTAGAGATTAGCAAATCAGGAAAACATTCAAAAAATGATTTAATTTTGGAATTTTACCTGGATTAGCTGTTTCTATCCGCTAGTTTTAATATAAAATTAACTAATTTGAAGTTTATTTACTATGCTTTTTATAAAACATTCTGGAAGTTTTAAAGTTTCTACATATAAAAGTGCAAATAGTTTAAAAAGAAATTTATTTTATGCCGCCTAGCTGCAGATTTACCTTGTACTGAAATATTTCAAGTATTATTATTATGGGAAACATCCCATTTTCGAGGGCCATGGCTATGGCCTAATCTGTTCTATTGTATAATCCAAAACTGTTAATAAATCCAGCACTGTAAATAAATCTGTAGCACTGTAGGTAATTAACTGTACTGTAGGTAATTTACAGCACTGTAAATAAATCTGTAGCACTGTAGGTAATTTACTGTACTGTAGGTAATTTACTGTACTGTAGGTAGTTTACTGTACTGTAGGTAATTTACTGTACTGTAGGTAATTTACTGTACACTGTAGGTAATTTACAGCACTGTAAATAAATCTGTAGCACTGTAGGTAATTAATAATTATCATTTAATCTTAGACATGTCAAAATTGCGCTTATTCTTTTACATTTTTATTTTGTTATGTTTTTTTTTTTGTTTTTTTCTATTTAAAATAGGAATGCTGCGAATCAGCAGGAGATGCACTAGTTGATTTGGTTGACTACATTCAACGAAAAATTACTAACCTTCTTTTAAAGTAGATATTTTTTATCCTAATACTTTATACTGCAGTGTATATGTTACTAATGTATTATTTTATTCTCTAATTGAATTATATTTGTTGAGTTAAGATACCTTGATGGAAAAAAAGTTGAAGAAACAATTAATGATGTACGTTTTCATTATGTCTTGAAGTAAAAATATTATTAAAAAAAAAAATGTTGTTTGAATTTATGTTGTTGATTTTTGTTTATTTTATTTTATATTGTTGATTTTTGTTTATTTTATTAAGGATCTGGAAAATCAAAATAATGATATTCAGTTTACAATACAAATGAAAGTCATTTCAATTCTTAGATATATATCTGATCATATAGATATGTAAGAAAAAGTATATATTTTAAAAAATAAATTTGAATTATAAAGTTATATATTAAATTATAACATTGTACTTGTGAGAAATAAAACATTTTTTTTAGAGTCCCTCTAAGTGTGTTAAATAGAATTTTGGATAAATATGGTAAGTAAAAATAAACAAAAATGTTATAAAAAGTATTTAGTTAAAAAGACATAAATATATTAATATGTTAGTTAATATTTATATATAATGCTGCTACTATTATATATGTGTTATATTAAATAAGTATTAGGTCAGGTTTGACCTAGTTTTATTCCATTATGTTAAAAAAGAATGACATCATTTTTTAATAAGATTAAATTATGGAGATGTTCAATTTTTCCCTGATGTTTCTATATTTATAGCTAATTTTATTCATTTATATATTCATTGCTAATTTTGTTTTGATTAACTATTGAACGTTGTATAACAAAACTTGTGTTAAAAATTTAGATATGCCATGTATGTTAGTACAACTTATCGAAAACTCCCCATGGAAAAGAATAAATAATTCAGGTATAAAAAAATTTTCCGTAATTATTTATAGTTAATAAAGAACAGAATGTACTGTTGTTATTATTTAAATTTATTGCAACTATTAAATTTAATTTTCAGGAAATTATCAATTATTTACTGACAATAAATGGTGTAATGTTGCAGAAGATGAAAAACACATTGTCAGTAAAATGGAAGGACAAGTATACTTATTTGAAATATTATTGATGTTATTGATTTCCTTTTTTTTTTTATTTTATTTATAAATTGGCATTTTTTATTTATAGGTATGGATAACTCTTTATCAACTTTTATTGCATCCTGAATGTCAAAGAAAGTATGATTTCAATGTTTATAGAAAGTCCCAAATATTAAAGGTAACCTGAGCTCATATGAGATTTTAAATGTTTACACCGCACTACTTTCATATGAAAATAGCTTTTATCATTGATATCAGGATATTACTATATTATATTCAATGTACTATTTTTTTATTTTTATTCATATTTTAATAAACCTGTTTGTTTACATATAAATTTTTAATTTCTTTTTTAGTTGCGTCGTCATTTAAATGAAGTTGTTCTTGAACAGATAAGTTTTTTAAAAGATTTTCAACGCTTTATAGAAATGTTGTCTGTAATGAATCCACCGCAAATTAAAGAATGTCTGATACTTGAACAAGTCAGTTAATATTTATATTAAACATATTATTTGGAAGTTATGTATTTAATTGAAAGTTATATTGTTAGTTAAAAATTGTTAGTTATCAATAAAAATAAATGAACTTGTTATTTTATACACTTTATATACACTAGATTCCAACAATTCGTTTAAAAATTGAGTCAGATTATAAAGATAAATGGAAGAAAATAGCTCAAGACCAAGCTTTAAATTATTACACGTTGACTAACGAACAAATGAAAGAGCGCGCTCAAAGGTTTTTAATATTTTTAGTATTGTGGTTCTGATTGACTCTGAATTTAGTCTCGGAATAAAGAAAATAATCCCACTTAAATTGTAGAATAGAAATGCATCTGAAATAAATAAAATATTTCTTTATTATAAAAATGTTTACGACTTATGTTTGATTTGTTGTTCATTCTACTATACAATCTAATATATACAACTTGCCATTCATCAGTTGATATTACTTCCAACGGTCGTATTATTTCCATTAGTTTTTTATTCTATTTACTTTTCAATTATTTTAGTTTTATGTTTTTTAAAGAAAAATTAATTTTTTTTTTAGCCTTTCAACAACCTACAACATTGATCTTTTAGAAAATTTAATTAATGAACCGCCTTCTTGTGCTTATTGTCATGGTGAAGCTATGAAGAGGTGCTCAAGATGTCAAAACGAATGGTATTGTTCCAGGTGAGTTTTTTAAGTTTATTACGTTTAATTTTATTATAAACAAATTCACTTTACTTATTTATTTTAAGACCGTGCCAAGTAAGTCACTGGAATAAACATAAAGAGTTATGCAATATGATGGCAGCAAATGCTCAAAAATGATCGATAAAGAACATATATTTGCCGATGCTTGAAAGTTTAAAGTCCAGGATAATTTGTAGAAAAATAATTAAATATAAAATAAATGATGTGTGAATTAGATTAAACGAGTAAAAGCTTTTAATTTATTTTAGTTAGTTTATTGTTGTTGTTGTTGTTGTTTTTTCTTAGGGGAGGGGGTGAGGGATGGAGTAAAAGCACAGGTATGCGCAAGAATCAAATTAATTGTAATAATTTCTAGTTTTTCAACTCAATTAGAATTAGCAATAAAGCGTCGAAAATATATATATGCTAAAAAATAGACCAATTTAAAATCTTCTTGGAATAGAAGAAAATGAGAATGAAAAACTTCCTTCAAATTTTTGAATATTAATCTTTGTGTTCGTTAATATTCCAGATTTCAGGGGATTGATTTGAAATTGCCGCTGTGTTGTTTTTCACATCAACGTCTACGTCAAAAGCAACCGCCTTGTACTGGCTTGAGTTCTGGTTTCAAAACTGGAGGTCCGTGGTTCGAAGCCGGCTCTGGCCACATGTGCATCCTTAATAAGGAAGAAGGTGTGTGAACTTCCTTGTTAAATGCCATTCCGCAGTGCTATGTGATAAGACCGTTAGGTTCACTTCACTTCTTAAAGCACCAAAAAAACTAATATAACAAAATGGCTGTTAAAACGTTTGATAATTATTTTTACCCTTTGTCAAACACTGGACGAAGCTTAACTCCAGTCGGTTGCAAACTTTTATTACTTTGTTGATAAAGTAGTTACCTTTAGTAATATCAGTTATTTTAGTCAAAATCAGGGGAAAACAAGTCGGATTGTTTAGTAGTCTTATAAACAGATTCAACTTGTTTTGAATTTAGGATGGTAGATATTTCATCAATTTTAATAATGGAATTCAGATATTTGCTGTCCCTTGACATTCTAAAGAGGTTTTAATGCTGAGATTCTGGACAGTGTCCAATTTATTAAGAAATATTTTTTTATAATTACAATTTTCTATGCCGTGTGATTCGGTACAGCCAGAGATTAGAACAAAGGCAGTATAATTAATGACTGACAAAAGCGAGTTCCAAATTTCTTAAGAGCTCTGGAGACTAAAATTAAAATAATGATTAAAATTAAATAATGCGTTTGTTAACTTTTCTCTGTTTAGAGTGTAGCTATATTTTGCGTATGGCTTTCCGAGGTGTTTTAGTTTATTATTAAGATGTAGGAAAGAATCGTTAATTTAATATGGGTTTTTTGTAACTGAGCTTTTACCGGAAATGATAAATTCGTTTTTTTCAATGTTTCATTTAATATAAAGGCTTTTGCTTTGTGTTTGAGCTTTATTAACCATTTCTTATAGCTCAGAGAGCGAAGAACTTTGTAGGATTATATTGTCTGCCTAAGCTAGTGTTAGTGTATATAACACCTATGTGGTTCTAATTTTGCAATCTGAAACGATTTGGCCTAATATACATTCAGTGTAGATATACTATAAATGTGGCGATAAAACGGATAGTTATTGCATATTTTAAGACAAATGTAAATAATTTGATTTATTTCCAAGGTATGTTATGTTAGCAGTACCCGAGCGTTATAATAATTGTGCTGTGCCAACTACTTATAGCGGTAAATTTATGTTGTAAGAAAATTTGATCAATCAACAATTCCCAGTTATAGCAATCGAAGGCCTTATTTGTAGATCTCATTTAATAGTTTTATCAAAATGGAAGCTTCTTTTTGACCAAAATAATTTGGCAAGCTTCGAAGTATTACAATGACGGATCTATTTAATAATTTTCTGTTCATCCACTTTGTTCACGTAGATTTACGTCAAATATTTGCATTTTTTCTCCAAGCTAGATCTTTAATTCGGTTTACTATTAGATTCTGAGAATTACATAAAAAAAGAGAAAATTGTTCTTCGTTTTTTATCTATTAAAAGATAACATCAAGAATGGTATTAAAAACGCTTACCTCAAACAGTTTTTTTTTGTTTGTTTTGTTTTTGGATTTTCTATGAAAGGTCTTCCTTTTCTTTTTCTTCTTTCGGACAAAATCTAATTAAAAACCATAACACGCTTGACCGAAATCAATTAAATGTGCTTTTTTAATAACGTTGAACCAAGAAGATCGCATTCTGGTAAGATCTTCAAATAGAGTCTTCATAAGCTTCATCTGCATCACATTACCAAAGGAGATGTTTTCTGATTGAAATAAGATAGTGAAAAAGTTCATTGTTTGAAGAGGTTTAAACTAGACGGTTGTCAAGTTGATTTCAAATGGCTAAATTCATTTAACATGAGACTTTACTTCATTCAATTGATTAGCAGCTAGATCAAGGTTATGAATCTTCTGCAAAGATACAAAAATCTCGCTAGGTTGCTTAACAAATGGCTTGACAGCCTTTACACGTGCAATCCATTGAGTTTATAAAGTTTGATAAAGAGGCAAACGAGTCCTCTTTTTCAAGATTTTCTGTCGAATAAGACTTCCACTAAAAAGATTGTAAAATTACTGAAACCGGCTAAAATAATTCTTTGCTTCCAAAGAAGATTCAGCAAAATGAACACTAAGATTAAGAGTATGAGCGCTGTATAGCATGTAAAGAGCAGTGAGCAGTGAGTTAATTGGGTGACCGAGTAGTTTATATTTTAAAATAAGCAGCTTAACAAACAAAACTATTATTGCCCATTAAATTTATTTTATGAACTTACCTTTGCGGCGACTTTTATGTGTGTGTGCGTGTTTGTTTGCGTGCGTGTATTTTTGAGTGTGTGTGTGTGTGTGTGTGTGTGCGTGTGCGTGTGTGTGATTGCAATTGTTTTTCGACTTCTTTTTGAATTTTCTTTTGAATAGCCAGAGTTAATACAATATTAAAGGTTGGTTGTAGAGTAGTTAAATCTGAACAACCCAATACTTTGAAATATAGTGACTACTTTCCTGCATAAGAAAACCTCACCAGAGTTGATATGCTTTGCCAACATATAGTGGTTGTAGAATGTGTAACAAACTAGCTGGTAGGCAAATTAACAAGATTTTATTTTCAAAGTACGACCAGGTAGTAACTTGTGTCAAATGTTAACCTGCGACAAAAATATGTGTATTTATAAACATCGAATAAACATTTGGTTTTATAAACATCGAGTTAACATCGAGTAAAAATTTGGTTTAGGTAGATATTCTTTTAGTTAATAACTCTTTCTAAAGTTTGAAATTTGTTTCTGTCGCTTAAAGTAAGCTTTTTTTAATACTTAAACTTGTCGGTTTCATCTAATGTTTTAAAATAACTTGATTCTTTCCAGCTTTCCATATTTTAGATGTATAGAAGATAATATAAAAATACAAAATGTTTACTTTTTCTTAATTCTATTAAAACGCTAAAATTGTTTGTTTTGACTGCCAAAGATTTGCGCATGTGCACATGTTTCGCAAAATCAAAACAACGAAAAGGGATCTATTAAATATCGAATATCATTTGATCCAAACAAACGTGATTTATTTTTTTATTCTATTTTTTAAATTTGCCTCATAATGACCAATTTTTGCTTCAAAAAATATGCAGAAGTTAGACATCTAGTTATTTTTAATGTATCATTGGGCACAATACATTCCCAAATAAGTCGGCTAGTATTAAGGCTTCTATATCAGCTGCAAATGCAAGTCGACAAACGCAAAGCCTCAGGAAATAAGGCAAAATGATGGCATACAATGGCCCGTTTTATTTGTTCAAAAAAAATCATTTGCCCAATAAAGGGCCATCGTACGGTGTTTACTGGGAACATGGCCTACTTAAATTACACGGCCTGATTTGTTGCATTTTCCGTAAAAAATTAAGAGGCCAGTTTTTTTACGGCTTAAGTATAAAAACTTAATTTTTGTTATGGTTAAGAGTCTTGTTTGCACCATAATTGTTTTATTTTTATTTTATTAAAATGGTTTAATAATAGTTAGATTTTCTTTGAGTACTTACATTAATTTTTTGCTAGATTTTCTGTTAACTGATTGCCTGCTTCAGTTTATTTCAACAACACAGAATACTGAAATAGGCTCCCAGATAACTATATCAACCCATACCAACATGCTACTAAAAATAATCTCTCATGTTGCTTAGATTGCCTAAAACTCTCCATTGAGCAAAAAAAAGGTTTGTAGTTTTGTATTTTTTATAATTGAAATAAAAAGATAAAATACATTAGTATTTATGTAGACAACTAAGCAATATCTTGCATAATATTTTTTAAGGATTATCAAAATTCTGGTAAATATTTTTGGGAAAATCTGAAAAAATCTTTTTACTTATGCACATTTCTAAAAGGCTCACAAAAAGTCTACTATTGGGCATTTAACTATACTTAATAAAACCTAGCTCCAAAGGATCTTTTTGTAAATTAACTATAAACAAATGTAAAGCCTTCTTCAAGGAAATACAAATGCGTGTAGTGTTGTAATTAGAGCACAAGAAGTTTGTTTGGTTAATGTCAGCTATTTTTCAAATTTTATTTTGATCAAATTTCAGTACAATTTGCAATTTCTCTATAAATTGTGGGTTTGTTATCACCTTTCATAGCAGCATTGCTGAGTTTGATTAGATGAATTAAGTTTCTGCTTTGAATTAAGTATGATAAATAACTTATAAAACAATGATAATTGTGCTGCGTTATTTCTTTCAGAAAAATAACTCTAAATTAGCAGTTGTAGCTGCAGTTGTTTTGTCAAATATTGTCGATGTTGACAACTTGTTTGTTGTTACCAAAATATATGATTTGATAACTAATTTTTCTTGCTTTTTCTTGCTTGTTTAATAAGTGATCTTTTAATAAACTTTAAGAAATATATTCCCTGCAATGTAATCAGCAGTAACTTCAACAAGAAGAAAAAAACAAAAACCAAGTTTATCAAATAACAAGTATATTTTAAACACTCCCTTTCTAAACTAAATGATAAATTAATAATTTTCCATCTCCAGTATATGCTTTATGAAACTATATAAATGCATTAACATTTGTAAAATGGTTATCGGTAACTATCAGTAGTTCTTATCTTAAATTCAGATTGGTGCATTGAGATAATACACTCATCAATTTCTTATTTCAAACATATACCTGTTATGTAAACTTTAGGTTATGATTTCAAAACATAAGAATAAATTTTTGAAGCCCTACAATCATAAAAACAAAAAACAATTCTTTATAAAGATTGTTTTACAAACCTTTAAAATTATTTCCAATGGAGATTTGTGGGTAGTTTTAGTAATATGTAAGATTATTTTTAGTAGCATTTTAATATGTGTTGATATAGCTATCTGAAAGCCTATTTCAGTATTCTTTTTTAATGGAATAAATTGAAGCAGGCAATCAGTTAACAGAAAATCTAGCACAAAATAATTTAAGTAATCAAAGAAAATCTAATTAATATTAAACCATTTTAATAAAATAAAAATAAAACAATTATAGTGCAAACAAGACTCTTAACCATAACAAAATTTAAGCTTTTATACTTTAAGCCGTAAAAAAAACTGGCCTCTTAATTTTTTACGGAAAATGCAACAAATCAGGCCGTGTAATTTAAGTAGGCCATGCTGGGAATCGTTTTTATTTAACGTGCTTTTGCCGCAACGATTAATAGTTACAAAAACGGAAAGAATATTATTTCCGTTTTTGCAGTAGGCGATGTTTCGTCGGACTTTTTCCCGCGAAGATGGTTATTAAATAATCGTGCCGAAAAATATCTGAATTCGCATTTTTAAAGACAAGAGTATTAAAACGTCAATTAAAAGAAAAAAATTTTGTTAAAAAATTCAAGTTAAAAGCATACACAACTTTAACTATTTTAATGACAATTGTTAACACTAACCCTTGTGTTTATTTTTTTTCAACATTTTTATTGTTTTTTTTTCCTAATTCAGAGAAAAGCCGCAAGAACGTATTTGTTTCGGTAGATAGTAAAATTTATGACCGAGTTTCCTTGTCTGACCTCTTACTTAGCGGAGTTAGCGCAAAAACTTAAAAAAAAAAAAAAAAAAGTCAAACTTAAAAATATCTAAAAAATATTTAAAGTAACCCTGGTTTACGGTAACAAAATAAATTGTTATTATAATAAAATCTTTGTGTCTTTTAAAATGTTATATGTTCCTTCTTCTATATGATTATCTAACCTTTGTTTTTATTGATAGTTAATTTTTGTAATTAAAAATTGTGATTTTTCCCCTTTCATCAATTGCTGTTTTGCTGTCTTCATTAAGTTTTGAACAGCTGTAAATTTACATGTTACAACTAAATTGTAAACTGAACTTAGCAATCTTCATTAAGTTTTAAACTGAACGTCGCTTTCTTGATTTCATTTTAAACTGAACTTTGCTGTCTTCGTTACGTGTTGACGTGAAGTGTTTTCTGTCTTCATGAAGTTTTAAACTGAACCTTGATGTTTTTATAAAGTTATAAACTGAATTAAGCTGTCTTCATTTAGTTTTAAACTGAACTTTGCTGTATTCATTAAGTTTCAAACTAATATTTTTAATTTCTTGATTTCATTGTTTAGTTCTCATAATTTTGGCAGTTTTCTCAGATTCTTTGACAATTAAAAAAAATTCTTTTAATCAGCTGTTAATATTATTTTCTTCAATGAGCACTTTTGGTAGATCTCTTGTTCAAACGATTTGATGTATTATATACAATAATTTTTTTTTACTTTTTATATAAAGGTGTTTAATCGAGGAAAAAAAGTCAGCATGGTTTTTATCAATACTTTTTCTTCGAAGCTCGAGTGTTTGTGTAAAATTCACAGTTCGGCTAAACTAAAGTCTTTCTTTAAAACCGCTCGTCATAACGTCCATTGCTCTTCTTTTTTTTGAAAACTTATTAAAATATTATTTACTGTCTGTTTTCGCAGTTTGGTACGCAACAACTCAAGCTGTTATGTCAAAAAAATGTCAAAGATCTTCGACGTTTTTTTATTTGTTTACTTCTTTTTGTCACCCATCATGGCGGATACAAAATATTGCGGACGTTTGGCGCTCAGATGAATATCATGGATAGAAGTATTAAAAAAGGCACTTAAAAAGACAATGTGTTTTATAGTTTTATAGTTGCACATTAAAAAAAAAAGAAAAAAGAAATACTTATAAGAAAATGGATGTTGCCTTTTCTAATCAATATTGGTTAATATCTTTTCTGCAATCACTTTTACTTTCAATTTGTTATGTTGGAAGCTTGTATATATACCCATCACCGTTTCGCAGAGATCATCCTACCACCATAAAACAACGTATAAAATCGGTTTTAATTGTTTGTTTACTAGCACCAATATATCTATATTTATGTTCAACAGAAGAAGGAGTGAAGTATCCACTGTGGGAATGGATAGGGTTTCGCACAAAAGGATTTTTTTCTAGTTTATTTTTAACACTTTTTCTCACAGTAATTTTATTTACAGGTCCTCTAGTTCAGATTATTATTACTGGTGGTTTTAAAGAATTTTTAAAAGAAATTTTTACTTTGAATCATTTTAAAAATTGGAATTTTTATAGAGTGGCTGTTGTTGCTCCATTTACAGAAGAATTTATTTTTAGAGCATGTCTAATTCCTCTACTCAAAAAGAGTTTTGACCATAAAACAATTATAGTTTTAGCTCCTTTATTTTTTGGAGTGGCACACTTACATCATATTTTGGAACAATTAAGAAATGGCACACCAGTCTTAGAAGCTTTTCTTGTTTCACTATTTCAAATGGTTTATACAACAATGTTTGGCATTTATTCAGCATATCTTTATATAAAGACTGGACAGCTTATTGGAATAGTTGCATGTCATAGTTTTTGTAACCTTATGGGTTTTCCAGATTTTCCAGGAATTTTTTCATCTCGATATCCAAAAATAGTATCATTTGCCTATATTATTGGATTAGTTTTGTTTATTAATTTGTTGTATGTTTTTGATAACTCTGAATTTCTTAGAAGTTTTATATGGAGTTCTGACATAAATATTTATTATGGAGATAGCTTCTTGTAACAATTTCATTGAAAAATAATATTAACTAGATGTTTTTTGTTTGTTTTTTTCTCCAATTGTAGTATTTTTTTTCTTGTATTTTTTTTTATAGTTTCCATTTATGGTAACAATATTGTTAAAAAAAAAAATGTATGAAAGTATTGAAATCCAGCAGTTGTTTTATTTTTTTTTTTACATATTAACATTTTGTATATTTAAAGCAATATAAAACATACAATTAAGTTTAAGTTAAATTAAAGCTCAATTAAAGCGGGATAAGTACAGTTTTATGTCTTCGCTTTGTTAATGAAAATAACTATGTATTAAAAAATTGGAATAGAATAAAGTAAAGAAGTGTTTTTCTGTAGGAATAAAATTTAAACTGTGACAACAATCATATCTCGTTCCATCAACCAAAACTCATTCGCTTTTATTCTTTTATTTGACTCATACAACCTACATATTCTGTCAACCGTTTCTTTGCTCTTTAACTCTATTCTTTGTTTTCTAGTAACTCCCAACCTTGTTGGTAATGAATTAATATATATATATATATATATATATATATATATATATATATATATATATATATATATATATATATATATATATATATATATATATATATATATATATATATATATAAAATAAGTTTATTATTATTTTAAAATAAGTTTATTATTATAACTTATTATTGATAAGCTTATCTTACTTTACATATTTTGATGGCATTATTTATAGTTTATATAATATAATAATATATTCATATCCTTATTTATGGTTATTTGAGCCCTTTACATTACAAAGCTAAAAATACTGCTTTATAAAATTGGGGTTTATTGTGATGATAAATATTATTTTAAGTTTCCTTTTTTTTAGAACAAAATGAAATTATTTTTAGTTTTAATGTTTTATTTTGCACATGCTGATGAGGGGTTAAACTTTTTAGTATTGGGAGATTGGGGTGGTCTGCCAACTGCACCATTTTCAACTGACATTGAAGATGGAACTTCTAAGCAGATGTCAATTATTGCTGATAAATATAAAGTTGATTTTGTGGTAGCATTAGGTGAGTTTTTGTAATTCATGTTATTGTTATTGTTATATCATTGTTACTATTGCTATTATTGTTATTATTACTATTACTAGCTGACCAGACCGTAAAAATATGGATCTTTTTAAGTCTATTCCAATCAATGTAAGATAATGTTAAGAGATTACTTGCAATCATTACAAAAGAAAAAATAAAGAAGTTTGTTTTTGCATAGATGTATATCTTCAATAGCTCAGTTGTTTCGTGCGCTGTCCTCATTGTCATTTATAAGGGTTCAAATCCACAACTTAGCATAATACATTTTTTTCAATCTTTAAAACTGTATATTTTATAGAATATATATATATATATATATATATATATATATATATATATATATATATATATATATATATATATATATATATATATATATATATATATATATATATATATATATATATATAGCAAAGAAGATCTTTAATTGTTAAAATAAAATTTTAAATTTTTTTTATTTTATACATATACTATACACAATCGTTCCATATACCACCTGCAAACTTAACTTATGCTAAAGACGTTTACACTTACAGACATTAGTACATAATGCTATACAAATCGAATTTTTTCATATGCGTAATTGTTATTGCATATATATTTACTTATTGTTTATAAATCCTATTTATATTTATAAATCCTGTATATAAATAATTTTACTTCCTTATAAAAACTTGCTAAGAAACTCTTACTTGCCATTACCTCTGTTGTAATGGCTCCCAAGAATTCCATGTCAAACACATAAAAGTGAGCACTACTACTGCTACTACTACTACTACTACTACTACTACTACTACTACTACTACTACTACTACTACTACTACTACTACTATTACTAATACTACTTCTAAGTTCAGCATTAATATAAAGAGATTATCATTATTGTTGTTGTTATTATTGTTATTATTATTTTTTTTTTTTAATACACATTATTATTATTATTTTTAATACACAAAGTTGTTTCACTGCTGAAAACAGTATTCATAATAATACTAATGATAATATTTCAAGTCACTAATTTCAACCTTAAGTGAAATGCTAAAAATTGTTCATCACAAGCTCAAAGTTTAAAAAAAAAGTAAAACTTTTCTTTTAGGAGACAATTTTTACTTTGATGGTGTTAAGAATGAGCACGATCCTCGGTTTGAACAGACATTTCATTCAGTATTTAATGAGCCTTCTTTGCAAGTACCATGGTATTTAATTGCTGGAAACCATGATCATCATGGAAATGTATCTGGACAGATTGCTTATTCATCTCATATGAAATTCTGGAATTTTCCAGATTTTTGGTATTCAAAAAAATGGACATTACCAAGTAAGAGCAATTTTTACTAAACAAAGTTTTATAATTTAATTAAATTCAATTAATTAAGTAGTTTTAAATTAATTTTGGCTAGAGATATGGCGCATTTTTTTTGGTTCTTGTTTTTTTTTTGTTTTTTTTGGGAAATATTCAAAAATTCATTGTTTAAGCTACTAAATTTAACTTTAATGGCAATATCTTAATTCACATTTTAATTTTTGATTTAAATAGGACAATAAATACTGAAATTTACTGAATTTATTTTTGTTTTGGTATGCTTAAAGGTTAACATGGTTGAAGCAGTTCTGTATATAAACTTCTTTGATAATTTTATCTTCCTCAATTTTATCTTAATTGGTTTTAGTGTATATTGACACAATAAACATTGTTTGTTTACATTTATTATATTTAATAAAGTTTAACAACTAATGAATGAGACATAGCATAATAAAGAGTCAAGCGAGAATGAGTTTTTGTTAATAGAACTAGAGATAATAGCTCTTTTGAGCAGCGACCATGATAGTTTTTGTAGAAAAGAGAAAGAGATGCAACTTTACGACAATGGGAAAGAAGCTCAAGCTTAGCAGATAGAGCTTGTTTAGAAGAAAAAGAGCATCATAAAAAGAACCAGCCCAAATATGACAACAACATTCCACAGAGACAAAAAGATTTTTGTAGAGGTAGAGAATGGAATCAAGGGTAAGAAAATGACTATAATGATAAAGGGATGCTATTTTTGCAATCAATTGTATATTTTGTTTACATGAAAGGTCAGTAGTAAACGATAATCCAAGACGATGTAAAAAAGAGGACAATGTAAGAGGGTTGCCATTTGTTAATATAGGAATGTCGACAGTAGTGTGGTAGTTGTTTGTAGTAAATAACTGAGTTTTGTTGGAATTAAAATTTATAAGCCAAAATATGATCTGTTACAGAAGTAAGATCAGATTCAAAATTGGCTGCCTGTTCTAAGCAATCAAAAAGAGAACACTTTTTGTCAAAACTTGAACTTTTTTGTTAAAACTTGAGTCACCAGCAAAAAGAACTACTATAAATGTAGGGTTGTTGGGAAGATCAATAATGTAGATAAGAAACAAAGCAGGACCAAGAATAGAACCTTGAGATAGAACCCAAGAAGTTACTGGAAATAAATAAGTAGACCTTTGACAATGATTTTAATAAAGCAGTTAGAAAGAAATGATTTGATAATCCCAGATACACAATTTGAAATTTCAAGTCTAATTTAAGTTTAATTGTCCAATATTTAGTTCATACTTAACCTCATTTTCTATTCAATAGGTCCCTAATATTGTTTAAATGGTCCCTAAAATGTTTATATTAAAAAGGTCAACTTATTACTCAAATGAATGGAAATTTTATATAAATCTTTTCTGAACTAGAATCTAAAAATAGATTAACACAAAAGATAACTACACCACATTAGCAACACTGAGTAGTGGTTTTTAAAGCACCACTATAGCCTGAAGCCCCCGGCAGCAGGCTATTTGACGTTAGGTGAGTATGACATCATCATGCTCACCTAACTCAGCAGTATAAGATATATGTATAATTACAAAACTCTTTTTGTTTCTCTTTGTTTGTAAGCAATTTAACTTAATAAAATAAAAAATATATATAGTAACATTTTTAAATATTTTAATATGACTTGTGTTATTTATAAACCGTAGGGCAGCTGCCCTTACGGCACCATTGTTTTTTGATAATATTTTATTTTGATGAAGATCATATAACTTACATTTGATTTTAATAACCTAAGTTTTCTCTTTTTCTGTGATCATCGCATCGGCAAAGTCCCAAGATTTAAAAGTTTTAAAGTAAATCTTTTGTCCTTTAAAATACAATCTATATTCGAACTTTAAACAATTTAGAGAGAATAGAAATATACAAGATTTTATATACTAGTTTGTCTTGTTTTATAAAGAAAAATGCATATTCATTAGTAAAAATTAGAGACTGTCATTAAACTAAAACGTGCCTTAGTATTTATTTAACGGAATCTGTAATGTACGCGTACATAACGAAACCTCCGTTATATAAATATATTCAACGTAGTATTAGTGTCATCAGCCGATGTTGTAGTCTACTCGTGATTTCTTTACCTTATAATATAACTTGATTTATGAAAAAAACTTATTGAATCGCACGCAGAAGAAATTTAACAAATTGTCTTCATTCAAAAATTGCGAGTAACAGGTAATTTTTTTTTTCTGTGCCAGCCCCCTCTCCCCAAATAACTTAAAGGTAAAGGTATCTATATACCTTTAACTAATAAGAAAAGCAAAGAGTAATAATTAATGAAGTAATTTTAAGAAAAATACAAATAGATTGTTCATTTATTGGCACATTTTTATTTAATATCTCGAAAAAATGTCTTGATATTTTTGTTATCATGATAACAAAAATATTAAGACATTTTGTGAGATATTAAAAAAAAATGTGAATCCTTAATTACAAATTTTTTTGCAAATGTTTTTTATTATAAATTCAATAAAAAACTCTTAAAAAATCTATATTAAAAAAAACATTTATATATGGAATATAGATTTTTTTAAAGTTTTTTTACTAAAAACTTTAAAAAATTACTTTTTTCTAATAAAAACATTGCAAAAAATTTGTAGTTAAGGATTGACGAACAATTTTTCATGTTGTTAAATATTTGGATAAAAAGTTTAGCTTAAAATTAATTGCTATAAAAAGGCAAGATATATATGTGTATATATATATATATATATATATATATATATATATATATATATATATATATATATATATATATATATATATATATATATATATATATATATATATATATATATATATAGAGAGGCTTGGACAGGAATGGCGTGCGATTTAACGCTATTGCTGACCATGCAAATGCTTTTTTTTTTGTGGAAAACTTGATTACAACTGTTTAGATGTTTTGATAATTTAAACATTTTAGAAATACGCTGAAAAAACAAATGCTAAGCTAAACAGTTTAACTTATCATTTTTAAGTCTTTTTTTGTAAGTCTCAAAACTTTGAAAAAATTAAAAATACTAATATATATATATATATATATATATATATATATATATATATATATATATATATATATATATATATATATATATATATATATATATATATATATATATATATACAGGGCGTGACAAATCGACGTTGGGGTTCGCTTAAATTTTTTAAAAACGAACGCATATCTTCAGCAATTTTTTATTTCCAAATAATTATGCGATTGATAGTTTTTTATTTATTATAAAAAAAAACATAATTAATATAAAAAAAAAATAAGTTACTAAAATTTAAAACGCAGTTTCAATGACATAAAAAGAATCCGCACTAATACTTTCTTCAATAGCGTTTCTTTTAAGTATGCAACTGTAGAAAAATTATATTTAGCGTGGTTTTTACATGGGTTTACAAAAGAATGGCAAGTTTAACTTAAAATGAATGCATTTGCAATTACTTTAAACGGAACCATGCTAAAACATTCTTTTTCCAAAGGCGTGCTTTTTTTAAATTTTCTTATTATCATTAAATTAATGTTTATTTGCTGTTTTTAAAGTTTTAAAAAAAATTTGCAGAAATGTATAAAATTTAATAGATTTTATAGAACTATTATGTTGATTATAGTTTTAATTTTTTACTGTGCGTTAAACAACAACCAATAATATAATATTTTTTTATTAAATACTTAATATTATAAATACAATAATAGCATATCAGGTATTTGATAGTAACTTATTAAATTATAAATTTAATAACTTATTAAATGCTTAATACTATATTATTATTTTTAAATATTTAAAAAATAAAAATGTCATAATAACTTTTATTTTATTTTTATATAGTTCCCTTTTATTTAAATTTTATCAAGTTTATATCTTTTTTTTATAATTTAACAAACTAAATTGAGAAAAATTCACTATTTTGTATTAATAGATAACAGTTTACAGTGAAAAGTTTATTGTATATTAGTTATCGTTAATTTGCACACACTTTGCAAATGCGTGAAAAATTGTTTTAAATTAATAAAAATTGATAAAATTCGATAAGCATCTTTGATATATCTAATTATTATATATCTTATTAACTAGAATAAAATTAATTTTGAAATAAAACTCCCTTATAATAAAATAAAAAAATTTATTTAAATAAAAAAAAAAAAATTAAAGAAGCTAAAATGAAACTAGCTTATTCTGGCCGACACACGGGTTCGAAGTGGAGTTGCGCAACCATCTATTAATGAAAAAAGTCCTCTATATCTTGAATTGCTCTTAAATAAAAAAAAAATATATAAAAAATTTAAAAAAAAAGTTTTTGTTAAATTAAATTTAATAGTTTTTGCTTGGTATATTTTAATTTTACCATTGTCAGGTATGTTTTAGGTTTTATTTAAACAAAAAAAAAATTATTTTAAAGACCAGAAAAAGTTTGTAAACTTTTTTTTTTTAATTGTTTGATAGACTGCCTTCCCCAACCAAACCCTTATTCAATGTAGCAGCAATTCCTTGTAGCATCAGGCTATAAGAAAGTTGATGTAGCAACACTACGCGCATGCTTTTCAGTAAAAATATAAAAATAAAAACAATCCGAATGTTTTTATTTTTTAATAAACAAAATAAAAACATTCTGAATGTTTTTATAAACATTCCAGTCTTTTAATTTGCATTTTTGTGGTTTTTAAAAAACCAATTTAAATTAGTTTCCTCAATTAAATTAATGCGTTTTGTTGTAATCTTTACCTACTTATTTTTTTCTCTTAAAAGTATAATTATCAATGTAACTAAAATAAAAAATGCAATCATTTTAATATTTTTAATAATTCTTAAAATGATTGCATTTTTTATTTTAAATAAATGCATTCTATTACAATAAGAAAAAATAAAACTTGCATTCTATTACAATAAGAAAAAATAAAACTTTTTTTATAAGCAGTAAAAACAACACTTGTCTAAAGAATTTTTTCATGCTACAATAAATAACACATA